TAGCTTCATTATGTCATTTGGGACTTGTGTGCAAAATTTGAGTACATTCCGGGTTGATTTGATGTGTTTCGGCGCTAGTTTTGGAAGTTGAAAGTTCAAGTTCATTTAAGTTCGATTTGAGGTGCGATTCGTCGGTTCGATATTGTTATGTGTGATTTGAGGCCTCGACTAGGTCCGTATTTTATTATGAGACTTGTTGGTATATTCGGGCAGGGCCCCTAGTGCCTCGGAAGAGTTTCAAACGAAGTTCGGATCGTTTGGATCAATTTTTGGCTAAGGCAGCTGGTGGCCGGATCTGGTATGATCACACCTACGGCTGGTTTGCGCAGGTGCGATGGTCGCAGAAGCGACAGAGGAGTCGCAAAAGCAAGGTGAGAGCTGGGTGAGGAAGATCGTAGAGGCGGAATGATGGGCGCATATGCGCGTCCTCAGAAGCATAATTTTGAGCCGCAGAAGCGGCGTGTGGCGCAGAAGCGTGAGTTGTTTGTCGCACCTGCGTGTGCACAGAAGCGGGGAATGCTCCGCAGGTGCGGAAGTATGGTCTTCAGAGGGCTTCGCAGAAGCGGAGGTCGCAGATGCGACAATGTGACCGCATATGCGAAATTGCTAGGCAAACTCTATATATTTCGAGGTGTTGGTTCTTTTATCATATTTTGAGATGTGGGACTCGGATTGAGGCGATTTTTGAAGCAATTTTTATCACAGGGATTGGGGTAAGTGTTCTACACTTGGTTTTGGTTTTATTTCGTGAATCCATCTTCATTTTTGGCAAAGTGTTGATGAATTTTAAAGAGAAATTGGTGGTTTTAGCCTAAAGTTTTATAGAGTAAGTTTTTAAGTTTTGAACATCGATTCGGAGTCGGATTTGAGTGAAACTAGTATGGTTGGACTCGTAATTGAATGGGTTATCGAATTTTATAAGTTTTGTCGATTTCCGAGGCACGGGCCCGAGTTGGGCTTTTGGGTTGATTTTGGGCTTTTGATTAAAAATCTGATCTTTATCGATTGAGTTTGTTTTCTCTGGCATTATTTGATGTATTTGAGTTGATGTTGGCTAGTTTCGAGCCATTCAGAGGTTGGTACGTGCGATATGGAATTTTTGGAGCATCGCTTGGCTTGCTCGGTATTGGAATTGGCTTGTTCGAGGTAAGTAACACTTCTAAACTTGGTGCTGAGGGTATGAAACCCCGAATTTCGTGTTATTTGTTTGTTGTTGAAGTGACGGGCGTGTGGGCGTACACCGTATGAATCGTAACTCCGTTATTTCTGTGGTACTGTGTAGCTACCTGATCTTATCTGTAACTATGAAATCTCTACGTACTAGAACTATTGAGTTGTGACCCATGTTAGAAACCATGTCTAGGCTACATGCTTATTCTGTTGGGATCCACTGAGGTCATTACTATTGTTGAGTTATTTGTTTACATTGCAATTTCATACTCAGTCATGTTCATTCATTTCATATCATATCTCAGTCTCTGTTGCTATATATTAACACATCATATCATTTTTGGGCTAGTTTCATGGCATTGTGAGCCCGAGAGGCTGGAAAGATTGATGACTGAGTGAGGCCGAGGGCCTGATTGTGAGTGATATTATGGGATCGGGCTGCACGCCGCAGCATGTTATATTGATTTATGCCTGGATCTGGTTTATTATGGCGCTTGGGCTGAAGGAGCCCCTCAGGAGTCTGCACACACACCCTAGTGAGCGCAGTTGATTATATTGAGGGATGGATCTTCCCCGGGCATGGATCTTGCCTGAAGCATTTATATTTGGGGATGGATCTTTCTTGGGCTAGATTGGCCTTATACAGTACTGAGCGACTGACCTGTCAGTTACTATATATATTTGGGATGGATCTTCCATGGGATGAATTGACCATATACAGTACTGAGTGATTGGCATGATGAGTGAAAAGTGTGAGACTGTGAGATTGAGTACTCTAAGAGTGTAAGTACATGAGTTCATCTCTGAGATACATTGCATTTGACATGCACACTTGACATACAGGCATAGAGATGCATTTTTCATCATGTTGTACGATATTGCGTCATTCATGATTTCACATGCATAGTGACATGTAGGTATAGAGATGTACTTTTCTCATGCTATCTGAAAAATGAAACATCTTAAGTATTGTTGAAAAGTTTTGGGAATAATCACATTTTTACAAACCTAGTCATATTTTGGTGATTTCGGCAAAAGATTTGAATTTTACTATATACTTGAAAAGAAGCATTTATTTTTCGAAATTTTATACGAGCTGAGCATTTATTTATTGAGTTATTTCTTGCACCATCTTTACTATATTGTTATGAACTGTTGCTGGTTATTAGAGTTGGACTCTGACCCTTGTCCCAGCTCGTCACTACTTTCAATCTAAGTTTAGGTTTGTTACTTATTGAGTACATGGGGTCGGTTGTACTCATACTACACTTCTACACCTTGCGTGCAGATGTTGGATGTTGATGTTGATGTGATCGACGGGAGCTAGATTTGAAGACGTACTTGTGTTCCGGTTGTAGCTGCCTGTTGTTCATGGTAGCCTTAGATTTATGAAAATCTGTTTATGTACATTTCGAACAGATGATGTATTTGTTTCATACCACCTTTGTAAATTCTAATCATAGAAACTCATGATTTGTACTAGTAATCCTTGGGGAATGTATAAGATTCAAATATATTCTTTCACTTAATTGTCTTATTGAATTTTATTGGAATTGGATAGTTATTAATTGGCTTACCTAGCGGGTTGGGTTAAGTGTCATCATGACTAGTTGGATTTTGGGTCGTGATAGTATTTTGGATCCACGTTACAAGCTCGAATCAATTGGCTATGCACTTGTAAAGATGTTTGGTAAAGATCTGGGGGCAACTATACAAGCAGAAGTGAAGAAGTACATGACTTCATTATTTAGTGAGTATGTAAAGTCCAGCTCAAAAGGTGTCGTGTTTGCTTCATCTTCAGATTGTTCTTCATTGGAAACTTCTACTTCCAGGCTTTTTGGCAGTCAAGTAAGCACCCAAAATACAGGACTTTTAGAATCACTCATGCAAGATATAAAAAAATATAAAACTGTGAGTGGAGGTGTGGATAATAGAACAGAGTTAGATAAATATTTTGGTGAAGAAACTAAGGATGACACTAAAGAATTTGATGTAATTGAACTCAGCTAGATTTCCTGTTCTTACGGAGATAGCTCGTGATGTATTAGTTATTCCGGTTTCAAGTGTGGCATCTGAATGTGCGTTTAGTACGGGAGGACGTCTTCTTGATTTATTTAGGAGTTCATTAACTTCTAAATTGGTGCAAGCTCCAGTGTGTTTTCAAGATTGGCTTTGAAATGAAAAATTAAAACAACCTATTAGTGTTAGGAAGATCTTGATAAAATTGAGCAGCTTGAACAAGGTAATAATATTGTTACTATATTTGTTATATATTAGTGTTGTGGATATGCTTATATTTATCGCACGACTCATTATTATAATTTTCTTCTTCAGATTTAGCTAGCGTTGGAAAAGACCCTTACGTAATTAACGTGTAGTGTTAATATATCTAGTAAGAATTCCAATTGTAATATAGTGTTAATAAATCTGTTAATATATTTATCGCATGACTCGTGTGTGTTAGTGCTTAGTTCCAAGTTCTAGCCGAACTAGTTTATGAGGTAGTCTGGCTTTATACTGTGATTGCCCCTTTTCTGGAATAGTATGGACTTGTAAATTATATTTTGTCTAGTTGGTTATAGGGCTGCTTATCGGGCGGATTGGGCGGTTAATTACTCTTAACGGTTTGGCTTAACGGTTATCGACTTTTAAATGTATTAATCCGCTAGCCACCCGATAAGATATCGGGCGGATTGGTATCGGTTTAGCTCTTATCGGGCGGTTTATCGGCCTAATTAAATCTATATTGCGTGCATTAATTGTTTGTTGACCGCCTAGCATACAAATTCATAATAGGAAATTACACATTGAGTCCCGACAAACATGTCTGCTAACGCCTACATAAGAATGATGTAGTGTGTCATGTGTTGTAGAGTGAAAAAAGTAGAACACATTGTAGGCTAGATTACATCCCAAAGCAGACTACATATGAGTCCAGACATACATGTATGTTAACGCCTACCATTAAATCCCAAAGCAGACTACATTACATGAGTCCAGACATACATATGTCTGTTAACGCCTAGCATACAAATTCAGAATAGGAAATTCCAGTCTATATTCAAAGTGAGTCCAGGATACATATTTCAAAATGATTAATCCATAAGTGAGCAGAATACACAGAAATGTTTGGCCTGCAGCTAACGCCTAACAGAGCTTGAATTTATGCAGCTTCAAAGTTCAAACAACAACTTCAAATTTCTAACTTAAACTCTCAACCAGGCATTTCACGCTATATCATTAACCATACAAACAACACCGAGCAAAAAGCAGTTATGTATAGAAATAGGGATGGATTATAAGCAGTAAACAATTTACAGGAAACACAGATGCGCTATTTCCCAGAACATAATTCAAGACAGTACTATCGTCAATATTGTGGGATAAAAGTTATGGCAACAACACTGTTGTTCTTCTATTAAACATAGACAGCAGGCATTAGTTTTAAAAAACAAAAGCAGAGGTGAACCATAGACAGCAGCTTAAACAATCTTATAGTAGGGTGGGAGAATAAGCTAAGCTAATAGCTGGAAGAAGTGGAAGAGTTTTTGATATTTAATATATATATGGATAAAAATAAATTATATATATATGTATATATATTCTTAACGGGTTAACGGATTATCCGTAAAGAAAATTGAATAATCCGTCCCTAAACCGATAAGCCGTTAATAAAAAAATTTCAATCTGTTCCCCGTCCGTTAAACCGTTAACCCGATACCAATAAGCCATTAAGCTTCGATTTCGGTTCGATTTTCGGTTTCGGTTCGGTTTTGAACACCCCTAGTTGGTTATGCTCGAATTACATTTTGTCTACAAGTTGGATATTCGAGCAAACTTTCTGGAACAGTATGACCTTGTAAATTACATTTTGTCTACAAGTAGTAATCCTTGGGCATGTAGGAACACAATTTGTCCCACGCATCATTTCTATAATGCATGTCCATATTTTGCATTTTCTCAAGTTTTTGTGGCTTTGTTCTGTCCCTTCTTGATGAGTTAATAAAGTCTTTTTTCTGTTGCTCTAATTGTAGGCTTTTGTTGTCTATTGTTGTCCTTCTATTGGTCAAGAATATAAGCTTGAATATACTTATTGTTGTTGCTGACTAAATCTGCTTATTGTTATCAAGAATATTGTTGCTCCTGACTGAATCTGTTGCTGCATCAGTTGAATCTGCTGCTCCTCAACTTATTCCTCTTCTCATCTTTGCAAGTTGTTTGAACTTTGAAGCTGCAGAAATTGAAGCATTGTTAGCTGCAACAGTTGTATTTTGGATGTCTCCAATTGTTCTAGATTTTATGTCTAAATTTTTATTTTATCTCTAGTTGTATTCTGGATTCATTTTGACAGATGTAATTGCCATGTTAGGAAGTGTTAACTATTATGTTAGCAGAATGTGCAGACAGCATTACTGTTGAAGAATTTCTATTTTTTCTGTTGCTCAAACCTATAACATACCAACAATCTCTTTCTTTGCATGTTACCAACCCCTCGATAGTTTTAGCCAAAAAATATTAATTAATTTTTTATATTATTATTTGAATCTCGGTCAGTTATAACTTTGTACTCCAATGCCTATTGGAAGAGTTGGGACATAAAGCATAGTTAGTATTGTTATGATTATTATTGTTTCTATTAACCCAAATATTTTACATAATAAAAGGAAAAAGTTTTTCCCACAACAAATATTTTTTTGTTAGTGTCTTTGTCAAGATTCTTTATAGTAAGAAGTCAGTGCATAGAGTTATGCCTGAGAGGAGTTGTGATACTTGGGTATATGAATTGTCATGATAAGTGAAAATATTTAAATATTAAATATTAGGCATGATAGAAACTTTTATACAATTAAATAAAAATATACAAACATATCGTTTAATAAAATTGGGTGAAATTTTTAATTATGCAAGTAACATAATATTCTTTATTATATGTGGTGTATTAACATTTTAATATACAACAACAACATCATCATCAACAACAACAACAACATACCCAGTCTTAACTCACATCGTGGGGCCAACTTATAATGCTCCCTATTCGCCATCTTCTCCTCCTCGTCTACACTTTCCACTAGCTTCAGATACGCTGCTTTCTTGGATTTCACTTTACCTTGCACTTCTCTATTCCACCACCAATCTCCCTTGTGACCACCAGAGTAACCCTTTGAGACCCCTAATACCTCACCTGCGGCTTCCCTAATGCACTGCGCAGTCGTGGTCCACATAGCGCTTGCGTCCCCACTACTCCTCCAAGCCTTCATAGTCACCAGCTTGACCCCAACTCCTGCGCTTTAACTTCTGTCAAGGCTCCCCACTTGATCCTATGTTGGCTATGCATCGCCCTCTTCCTCGTGATCTCAAGGTCCATGACCAGGAGCCTATGAAGGGCCGAGAGGTTTTCACTCGGGATGACCTTGCAATCCGTGCAAAGACCTCTATCGGACTTCCTGCAGAGTAAATAATTAATCTGAGTCTCGGCCACCAAACTCCGGAAGGTGACCAAGTGCTCCCTCTTCTTCGGGAAACTCGAGTTTGCTATCACCAAATCAAATGCTCTAGCAAAGTCCAGAAGAGACGTTCCTCCTCCGTTTCTATCTCCAAAACCAAAGCCACCATGCACATCATCATACCCCCCAGACATCGCTCTAATGTGTCCGTTGAAATCTCCTCATATGAAAAGCTTCTCGGTATGCGGGATACCACGCACCATCTCATCCAAATCCTCCTAAAAACGCTTCTTGACTTCCTCATCCAAGCCTGCTTGGGGTGCGTACGCATTGATTATGTTCAAAGTAAAACCTCCAACAACTAGCTTAATAGTCATCAACCTGTCATTCACCCTCCTAACCTCCACCACTAGTTCCCGGAGGTCCTTATCAACCAAGATACCTACCCCGTTCCTACCCCCCACCCTCCCAGAATGCCAAAGTTTGAAACTGCCTACATCCCGTGCCTTATCTCCTGCCCACCTAGTCTCATATACACAAGCTATATTAATCTTCCTTTTCTCGAGAATCTTCGCTAACTCTACAGATTTTCCAGTCNGGAGTCACTACGCAAGCATTATCTCGAAAACAAGCGATAAAAATAAAATGAATTTCGAAATATAATCTACCACTATGGTTGCAAAACAGGTGAAGAAATAAAATAAAGGAATTAATGGAAACTATAATTTACCACTAAAGGTCAGACAAACAGGTGAAGAAATAGAACAAAGGAACTAAAGGACCTATAATCTACAACTAAATGATAGAAAAATATATGAAAAAATACAATACAAGAGCTAAATGGGCTATAATCTACAACTAGAGGTTACAAACAAAATGTGCAATAAAGATTCAAAATAAAGCAAGTAGGATGGAATTACCTAAATAGAGGAACACAACAAGAATGGGGGAAATCCAGTCAATGCAATTTAATTCGGGATACCCAATAGAAACGATGAATAACAAAGCAAGAATGCTACTCAGATTCAAAACTCAGGAGCAATAATGTTAAAATAACTAAGCAAGAATATAACCAACATAAAGAATTCCCAAAAATTGATAAGCGGTAGAAAAATTAAAGCAGAAGAAGAATTAACGAAGTAAATCAATAACCAGAACTAGAAATAAATAAGGAAAAGGAACGATTGAACCTGGTCGGAAGCTCTGATCGCCGGACAGGGGAGATCTGAATCTCAAAACGTCACCGTTTCAACTGATCGAATAAAAATTTCTTCAAAATCTGTTATGGACGTTCCTGCAGATGAAGAACAAAAAGAAGAAACAAATCTGTTGAAGAAATGGCTGCCTCCTCCGCCAGAGACAAGTGTTTAGACGAATTACAAGAAAAGATTATTAAATTGCTTGTTCTAAAGAAGAATTCTTCAGAACGAAAAAAGACAAAATCTTGAAAAGGGGCGGTGGATATTCGTATTAACATTTTAATATATTTTATCAAAATATCTAGATTTATTATTGATAATCCTAGAGATTCTATATCGTATTGCTATAAAGATAGCTAGGAGTGGCAAATGGGCGGGTTGGGTTGAAAATGATTCGGGTCAAAACGGGTAATAAAAAAACGGATAAATTATTCAATCCGATCCATATTTAATACGATAAAAAACGGTTTAACCGGCCGATAATATAGGTAACCATATTATCTATGACTTTTTGAATATGATCACTTTTGGGAGAACTCCTAATCTTCCAAACTTGAGGAATCCCCAATTTGAGGTTTTTACAAATGTAAAAGTTAAACTCATTGGTTATACATTGGTTACTTATTGGTTATCCATTTTCTAAATGGGTAATATGGTTCTTATCCATATTTGACCCGTTTTTAAAAAGTTCATTATCCAACCCATTTTTTAATGGATAATATGAGTGGTTAACTATTTTCTTATAACTATTTTGCCACCACTAAAGATAGTTATCATTGTTATAGGTAAAAATTTGTTATAATGATACTAAATATAATATAAAAGTCTGTTCGGAGAAAAAAATTTGACTTTTAACCTTTTACAATGAATGACTCTTATTATAGAATTATATTTAGCAAATATATATATATATATATATAAATTATATGTATATGAAGAAAAAAAATGAAATCTTGGGATGTAGATAAGGGTGTCAATGGTTCGGTTTGGCTGGTTATTTTATAAAATTTGTACCATATAAAATTTTTGGCTATTCTATTATATATAACTAAAATTAGACTTTTCTAAATCGTCTCAATCATATCGGTTTCTCTTCGGTATAGGTACGGTTCGGTTAATTTTCGGTATTTTTTTAAATATCATGTAAAATTCACCAGTAGAAGTAGAATGGAATAACATACGTTTTTTTATACGACTTAGCAAAACTCTCTAGATATTTTTACTATTTAAAGGGTGATGAATTAAAAAAAAATAAAAGATGGCTAGAGTATAGATCCATCAACTATTCTACAACAACTTAAAAGAAACCAAGCAAAGGCAAAGAAAATATAAATCACACGAGTAAAAATATATTAACCAAGCTGGGACTCAAGAATAAAGTCTATAGAAGATTAAGTGAGCGTTTGGACATAAGAATTGTAAAATTCCAAAATAAGTGAAAAAAATTTCAAGTGAAAATGGTATTTGAAAATTAGAGTTGTGTTTGGACATGAATATTATTTTGGGTTGTTTTTGAAGTTTTGTGAGTGATTTGAGTGAAAATTTTGAAAAACAGCTTTTTGGAGTTTTTCAAATTTCGAAAATTTCAAAATTCATCTTCAAATGAAAATTGAAAATTTTATGGCCAAACACTGATTTCGAAAAAAGTAAAAATTTATCGAAAAAAGTGAATTTTTTTTTATGTCCAAACAGGCTCTAAATATTCAAAAAGATAAATCTTAATTATATGAAAGTAAACATATTCAATACATTGTAGTTTGTTATTCATAATCACTAGAATAATGTGTCTTGCTAATAAAGATACTTGAAATAACTTGTTTTAAGTAGAAGTAGCATAATAGGTTTTAGAAATTAGTATTTTGAGTTTAATTACTTGTTGACTTGTAAAAGTTTTCATAGTTTCAAGGCCCAAAGAAAAATTTAATGCATTATTATTTTTAAACTTATTATATAAATATATTTTTTATATATAAAATTTATTCGGTACGATTTTATATTTTTCGATTTATTTTTATAAAATAAAAAAACTATCATAATTATCGGTCTATAATATAGATTTATATTTCTTTTACAAGAAAACTAATATCGATTCGCTGTGTAACACTCCTAGATGCAGAGAAGCTAAACAAAAGTTAATGTGGCACAGCTTTTCTCGTTTTGCATGCGAATTTCAAGGTGCGAACACGAAATCCGTCCATATTGCGTCTTCCCGCGTTCAAAAAGCCGGTCACCCTCTAACTCCTCCATCGTACGGTCGTCACCGCTATAACCGGTAATACCGTCGATCTAATAAAACCTCCAATCATTTTCTTCAGATCACACATTTCAACATCAAAAGTCGTTATTTCCCAGGTCTCCACTCGCATCTTCACGCGCCACCACCATCACGGACCGCTTTTTTTTTAAATGGAGCAGCCAAACGGTGTAGCGACAGAGACGGATCAGAAAAATATTTCGGGTCAGGATTCGGATCGAATTCCGAAACCGGATCCGCGACCCGATTTAGAGCAAATTCAACTACAGGACAATACTGCCGCTATCGATGAGAAACAAAATGGCGAATCGGCGAACGGTTTGAATAAGTCGAAGAAATCGGTGAGCTGGAGCGAGGAATTGGTGATGGAATCGCCGACGCCAAGATCTATGCCTTCCGATGACCGTGGATCGAATCCTTATGTGGCTTATTCTCCTGCTCCGTCCGACAATTCATCTTCCTTCAATATAAAAAGTCAGTATACATGTTTTTTTCTTTATTCGTTTGAATATACGTATACTTGAGATCTAATTTTTGAATCAGTTCAAGTTCTCGAATTGTTGTTTAACATTAGCATATGCAATACGAATTCGTATACTTGATAATTGTTAAATTGCGGTACAGTTTAGCTTTTGTTTTAGCTCTGGATTCCCGCCGCTTTGAATTGTTAATAGAAGTTTCTAAGTTACGTACACTGATAGTGTCAGATTTTTTACTCTATCAATGAATTTTTACTTGTGATGGCAACTAATAAGTTACCATTTCTAACATTAGCATATGCAATAAGAATTCTTGCACTTGACGATATCTGAAATTGCGATATATTTTAGCAATTTTTAGTCTCAATTCCTATGGCTTTGAAATGTTGATGGAAAAGATTTAAGTTATATACACATACAAAAGAATTTTTACACTATCAATGAATTATTACTAGCATATTCGTTACTATTTTTACCAGATTATCAATTAATGTTTATCAAGAAATTTAACTATAATTACCAAGTAGGTTGACGCAGGGGCGGCCCAACGAATTTTGTGGCCTAAAGCCAAATTTTGCGAGGGGCCTCAACGTTTTCTAAAAAAGATATTATTTTTGATATGAAGTCTATTTTTAGCTTTTTTAAGATGCAAAGTTATTAATAATTTTTTTTATAATCAATTTCTCCTAATAAGTCTTTTCCAATTAACAATAGAGCTAATCAATTTAACCTCTCTTGAGAAATTGTTGATTTTAGGTAAGATTTTATCAATTTTAATTTTGAAAAACTTTACGCTGAAGCAACGGTAACAAGAGCCTTTAACATTATCCTATAAGCAATGTAGGCGTTTGGAAAAGAATCAAATCATTTTATTTGATTGAGTATATCAATTAAATTGTTATCTTCTAATTGTTCAATTTTTCTTAACACTTTTAATTCAAAAAATAAATCTAACATTCAATATCAGATTGATTATTATGCTTTAAGGAGCATTCAAGATTAAGGAAATATTTTTTCAAATTAAATTTCCATCATCGAGTGATCTCATTTTTTACTACTAAATACAAAACCAAAAATATTTTCATGTGCTTTGAATTGTTCAAATCTAATTTGAAGTGACAAAATAGCCTTGTCTACTATATATAAAAAATAATCAACTCTAAAAACTTTTCGAGAGATTTTGAGATTTCATTATCAACATTCTTATCAAATTGTTTCTTCCTATATATCACATGTTTCTTACGAAATTCCTGTTCGATATTCATTTCAAATGTAATTTCCTTGACCTAAATCATAGTCGCCGCAAGTCCTTCTTCTCTATATTAGTTAAAGAAAGAAATCAAATATTTTCACTTCTCATAACTTTTTCTTAATTTATATATAACCTATTATGTGTAACAAAAAATTGGGTCCCCAGAAATGTGGGGCCTAAAGTAGTTGCTTTACTTGCTTTAGGGAAGGGCCGCCCCTGAGTTGACGTGAACTGCATTATGTTCATACGGATAGAAAAGTTTGATGTGAGAGCTTTTAAAAGATAGAATGTCCCCCAAAATAACAGAATTCAAAAAAAAAAAAAAAGAACAAGTTGAGAAGAAGAATAATGCAGCGTCTACATCTTGCTTAACAGATACAATGGAGAGTGTCAAAGGTGTGCTCGGTAGATGGGGGAAGAAGGTTGGTGAAGCAACTAAGAAAGCTGAGGATCTTGCTGGCAATACATGGCAACATTGTAAGTCTTTCCTCTTCCATTTTTTGGGCTTCTTTGAGTTGTGTGTATGTTCTAGTTACATCTTTGAGTTGTATGTTTTAGTTTGAGAAAAGGTGTCGGCAATGATGTATTTGGTCCTCCTTGCTCACAGGGTGGATCTACGGTTGAAGTTGTAGGTTCAGTAGAATCTTGGCCCAAACAGTCTATTCGTGTTAAAAACTTCACCTAAATATGTATAAATAATCTATCCAGAACCCATAAACTTAGCTCCCGTTTGGCCATAGATTTTGGCTTCATTTTTTCCAAACAATTTTGAAAACAATGTTTGTTTATAAAATATGGTCAATGTTTTGGGGAAAAAAATTCAAAAATTTTCAAGTTCCCAAAAATTGGTTTAGGATAGTTTTTGGGTGAAAAATTTTCTTCCACTCAAAACATCAACTTTTCTTCAAATAAATGCATGTCCAAACATAACTTCAAATTTAAAAAATTATTTTTCAACACAACTTCAAAAACCCTTTTTTCAAGTTTCAATCAAATCTATGTCCAAACGCTAGCTTAATATTCTAGATTCATGTATTCTTTCTCATCCAATGGATAAATCTTTGAAAGAACTAAGAGATGATACAAGTCTCTTTTGTTTGGGTATTTAGTAAGAGAACTTTTAATAGTAGCACGTGAGAAAACTATTATGAACCTTCAGTAATATAGGACCGAGAAAAGCATTTCAAATTTTTAATTTTACTACACTCTTATGCTTCCAATTTCACATTTAACAAGTAAAGTGTTACACAAGTTTCAAAATTTGTGACAATATATTTGGAGTTTGGAGTAGAGAATCCTAGAGTCCGAGCATGATAAAGTGAACTTGAGATTATGTTGTTTTGAAATGTACCTTGATTATATGATACATAAGACAACATATATTGTAGAAAGTGCTAGCTTTGCGCTTAGAATGGGCCCTCAGAAATTTAAGGCCTAATTTCCATTAACTCAGAGATGAGTGTAGTACCGTGGTGGCACTGAGTAGGCGAACTACGATTGAACCGATAGCTAAAGATTATTTCTTAGAAGGTTTGCCTGGCCTAGCATTAACACGACACATCTTGCCAACAATTTACCTAGCCTGGCCTGGCCTGGCCTGGCCTTTATCCAAATAAAAATCTTTAAACCATGGTACTCATTCCTACTATGATTTTAATATTTTACACCCAATTAAGGATCAACCTCCCTTAATTGAAGAAAGAAACAAGAGAAAGAGAGAGAGAGTTTAGAAAGATAACTTTTTATTTCAGCATACAACATTTTATTAGGATAGGAGAGTTTTGCCTCCCACTTCTTAATAGTTCTTAGTGGTCACTTGGTCAGCGAAAGTGATCTTAGTGACCACTTGGTGGTGTCCTTTGACTTTTAGTGCCTTATTTCAGATGAGCTTCTTTTGCTCACGTTTTAAATACATGAAGTGTCAATCTAATAAATTTTAAACGTTGTCATGAAGGGTTTCCCTATGAAAAGGGACCTTCGCAGTCGTAGAGGGGCAGAACTCTTCTATTAGTGCAAGTATATATTACTTGATTAACGTATATCCTCCTAATACTTGAGGATTCCAGAGTTCACTTACAATGGACTTCTAATACTCTCACTTGGATATTATCAGTAATTCTTGGAATCCAAGGTAGAAATTAGTATATCAGCAGTACTCTAATGATTTTTATTAGAAAGTTTGTCTCTGAAAAATGCAGACAACCACTAGTGCAGCACGGTAAAAGTAATATTAATTAAGATTTAAGTATGATTGAGCAGCGATGTTCATGTGTAAGTGAACTATCCAAAGGTAATAATAGACAAATAAAAAAAAAAGGAAAGGATATACAAATGTGTGGTGAAGTTGGGGGTTCAAGTCAATGAGGGAGCAAAAGTGGGATCGGCAACTGTTGGATTTTTGGATAGTATGTTTTGGGTTATCTTATAAAGAAAAGGATAAAAGGAGTCATGCTATGACTTCTTTAAATGTTAAGTTCAAGTTTAGATTTGGTACCAGACTTCCTTAGGTGTGGTGGTTGAATAGGTGCTTACTTGCTTCAAAGTCTTCCATTAGGTCAAAGGTTCAAGTCTAGTATGAGGAACCCATCAAAGTTCAAGTTTTGATTTGGTGATCTAGCACCAGGGAGAAAGGAGAAAAGGGATAAGAATAGGGAGAAACAGAGAAGAATAAGGGAAGATTTAATTCTTAAAGTGTTATTCACTAACTCAAGAGTGTCAAAAATAAGTCCATATTTATAGAGCAGCGGATGTTGAACAGATTAAACTCGTGAAACTTTATTTTTAAGTTGGAGACAAAGATAAAATCACAGTGGATGTTGAACAGATTGAACTCGTGAAACTTTATCTTTAAGTTGGAGACAAAGATAAAATCAAGGATAAAGATTAGGAAAAATTGCTTTTTTGATACCTAGATTCGAGAGTTTGTGCTTTTATTGTCCTGTTTTCTTAAGTTGTACACATAATAACGTAACTTTAACATTTGTGCAAATAGTGGGACTTCATCTTAACGGTGTTAACTTTTGAATGGAAAAGACTCTGTCTACCTCGCATATGACGGGTTTATTAGTCTTTTTAAGGGCTCAAAACTTGGTTTTACTTATTAATCAGTTTTTTGTGTAAATAAAACTTGTCATTGGTGTAAAATATCTAATTTGCATACAGATCCTTTTCATATAGTAAATACTATTCTTTGTTTAACAAAATATTTACGATAAGTTTTTGTTGTTTTATCTCAATCAGATTAAAAGTATTTTAATTTTACTTACTATATATTCATAACCAAAAAGCATCTCTTTCTTTTTTGTACTTCTTTGCTACTTAAACAAAAAGCTATCATATTCAGTAGAAAAACAATGAAATCCACCTCTTAAATAGCACGGTAAAATTTTACAATAATGAGATTCCTTTTCTGTTTCTTGAGTTTTTAATATTCAAATCAAAGGATTTTTCAATTTTGTCCTACTTTAAAAAGCACAAAGAAACTGGAAACTGTTGCTGGGAAGCTGCAGCACTACAATTTCTATCCTTGAGTAGCTAGTTGTTAATCTTAAGGGATGAGTAGTTGATGTACTGGAAACTGGAACTGTTGTTCAGTTTCCTTTCTTTGTAGTACTTTTATTTTGTTTTGTTGTACATATTCTACTTGCAATAAAATTCTTTATTTACCAAGAAAAAGCACAAGGAAAAAGAAACGGCCTTTATGATGAATATTGTAAAAATCTACTCACTATATTTAGAGGATTCGTATGCATATTGAAGGTTTGATGTCAATTGATGATTTTTTCAATAACGGTGGCGTCTGGACCAAGTTGCGCAGACCTCGACTAATTCCATCGGTTACCTGCTATCTCCTACCACCACAAGTACCGCCGAGTAACTGTATTTTGTCTTCACGGGGCCGAGTAACTGTATTTTGTCTTCACTGGGATTTGAACCTGCTATACCCTTTGGCGCTGTCAAAGATGAGTTTTATTCAAAAAAATAAAACCGAGTTTTGAGCCATTAAATAGACTAATAAATGGGTCATGTGTAAGGCACATGTTTCTTTCCCTCCAATAGTTAACACTATTAGGCTGAGATCTTGTTTTGCACCTAAATTTAAAGTTAGGTTTTTACGTGCATAATTCAAAAAATTAGGAAAAAAAATGCACATTATTTAAAAATTAGGTACCATAAATGAAATTTTACCTAACAAGACTCTCTTATCTGTATCCACGATGTGAAGCTTAAAAATACTCTAGTCTCACAATGCAGGCAAAATTTTTTCACATCCTGGAGATGGTGTTGCTGCGAATTCATAAGAAATTTACAAAAAGATAAAATAATAATAACAATAATAATAATAATAATAATAATAATAATATATTTCACTTTGCTTAAATTGATATTTAGGACGTCTGTGATAAGCATATTTGCAATGTGGATGTCTTTATAGGTCATTTGCAACTAAGAGCCATACCTCAACTTATAGCACTTTCTCTAGAGTTGCCACCAACTTTGCTATGAGTTTATGTTGAGGATATGATCCTATAAATACCTTCTTGCTGTGAGTTTATGTATGTATATGATGTGAGCTTCAGAAGTGCGGAATCCTCCCCTTACGTTTCTGCATCTGTCAACTTTTTTTCTTTCTTGTGACAACTTCCTTAATAGGCATGTAAAGCTTAACCTTTTCTTTCCTTCTTGTGGGTAGGGGTGAAGGTTGGGGCCAGGAGGGGGAGGGCTTATATCTGTTGAAGATTCTAATGCTTTCCTGTCTTGCAAGCTTTGTTTATTGTTAATACGTTAGGTCATATACAATTAGATGAAGAGCTCCTGTTCCACCCACTCACATGCAATAACTTTGTTTCTTTTATTGGCTGACATAGTGAAAACGGGCCCTAGTCTTGCTGATGCTGCCTTGGGAAGAATTGCTCAGGGAACAAAGGTTTTAGCAGAAGGTGGTTATGATAAGATATTTCGCCAAACATTTGAGACTGTTCCCGAGGAGCAACTTCAGAATTCATTTGCATGTTACTTATCCACATCAGCTGGTCCGGTTATGGGAGTATTATATGTCTCCACAGCTAAGCTTGCATTTTGTAGTGATAACCCTCTCTCCTATAAAGCAGAAGACAAGACTGAATGGAGCTATTACAAGGTATGTTAGACTTTGTCCTTCAGTACTGGAAGCCCATATATGTGTTCAATTAATTATTTGTCAGCCTAGAGCTGCACTAGTGACTATCACGTATACTGCCTTTTCTGTAATTACTGCTGAACGTGAGAGGTGATTGTTACATTGGAGAACATCTGCACTTATGTAGGTTTTCTATAACTATGGGAAAATGTAGATGCTAATATTTCTGGTCATCCATTCCTAGATGACAGGATGAACACGCAAGATTTATTTAATTAACCTATCTCATCTTGTTGTAGTTCGTGTCACACTAAAATACGTGCTGTTTATGTTCAGGCTATGTAACTGCCTTAAAAAATTTCCTGTCATATATTTTCAAGTAATTCTTAAGATAGTTGAAGAATGCTTTCGTGCATAACAACTATCATTTGTTAAAACCGGATTCAAGCATTGACATAAATATTATCTTCTGCAGCTGTGGATCAGAAAAAAGTTACTGACTATGCTTTTCCTGCGTAGCGATCCCCTAAAATCCACTTTAACATCCCAGCTTCACTTCCCAATAATTTGTGCTGCAGCACTTGGGTCTCAAAATATATCACAGGTTTTTGAATCATCTTCATCTCTGGTCCAAATTTTCAAGAGTGTGTCCTTTTTCCTATTCCGCACCTCAATCATCATCATCTGCTCTGTCCAACTAATTAGGTGAAAATGATTGGAGACTGAGAAGTTTACTTGGAAATAATAATTTCATGCAAATTAGAAGCCACAAGAACCATCAGATAGGGTTAGAGGATTCATTCTACTCATTTTAATGAAACTAGTGTCATCTAGTTGAAAAGGGGAAATAATTGTTAGTGATTCTTATATACCTTCATATCCATATTCGTGTGTGTGTGTTGTGTCTACACCAGGTTTTGGAAAGGGAAAGAGAGTTTGGGAGGATGAAAGTGGATGCAATAGGGGTTTTGTAGATGGTGGAAGGGCGTTGTGGCAGAGGGGACCAGGGAGGAGGGAGGTTTGGCTAGAAATGGGAGAGGATGCAGTATTGATGAGGTGGCAGCAGCCTGAAGGGGTTACATGCTGTTTTTCTATAGTTAATCTGTACGGGAAATCCATCGAAACACCCTTTATTCTATCATGTGAATAACACATGCTCCTCCCGTGGCCAAGTTTACGAAGAGGCAATAGACCTGGAAAATGGGGATAATTGAAACTTCGAGGTTAACAATCAACAGACAGGAATAATATTACACTTCACAAAATTGCTCAAGAGCATTTGGTGCCATTTGCTATCATATGTATCCTTTTTTTCTGTCAAGCCAGTTGTTTTTCCCCCAGGTATTTTGGTTCAGTGGCAAAGTGCAACCAGTAATGTTTGGATTAGGCACACGTCACGAGTTCGAATCTTGATGCAGGCAAAAGCCTAGTATTTAAGTGAAGAAAGGATAGAGAAGAGGGAGGAGAGGGTGCGTTATCCACCGAGTTATGAACCGTGCTCAAACTTATTTATTAGAAAAACTCCATGTATGTTAAAGTGAATTCTCACATCTCCATTGACTGTGCCAATCTATTGTTTCTTTTCTTACAAAGAAAAACTCATTATATATAATATAATATGAAAATTTATACTTGTCAGTTCTCAAGCGTCCCTGGGTAATCCCAATAGTATATGAAGTCACAAGCTCAACATGTTCCGTCAATGAACTTTTAAGTAGTTCGCATTCTTAAAACTTCTAACCTTGCAAAGCAATTTGAGTCATGTCAATTTGAAACAAACTTTGATATTGACGAAGTTTTTACTTTGCGTGCAGTGAGCAGACATTATTGTATATTTGACAATGTAGCATTCTCCATCTTAAGTCTTAAATATATTTCATTGATTGCTTATAAGAAACCTCTTCAAGCTCAAATGATTGTCTATGTATGATTGGAGGATCTGTCTTGCTATCCATTAATAGACTGTAGGAATGAGTGGTTGTGATAGTTGCGTCTTCCATGCTACCTATCTCATGATAGCCTCTTTTTCCCTTAGTTCAGTGAAAACTGAAAATGTCCTCAAAGGCCTACTATTAAAGCGGATCAATGCTTGCACAGCAATGTGGTGCTGCTTTCCTGAGCCGAGGGTCTATTGGAAACAGCCTCTCTATCCTCACAAAGTAGGGGTAAGGTCTGCGTACACACTACCCTCCCCAGACCCTACTGTGTGAGATATTAGTGGGTATGTTGTTGTTGTTGTAAATGCTTGCACATCAAATATTCGCTTTCTTCTGCTTGACTGCAGTTTTTTGTGAAGATAGCACTTCCTTAAACACTTCAGGGTATCTAGATAGTCCCGAGAGTGCCCAGGTATTGCATTACATAGTGTTAGATCATAAGGATCAAGGTGAAGTCATAGCCATAGACAGCTTGGAGACAGAAACTTCGGTTGAGAAACTACAATTACAGTGGTTGAGATGTGGAAAATTTGGGATAATTAGCCCTTGCAGAAGCTGTTTCTATACTGGAAAACAATGTTTTAGCTCATGACTTGTGTATCGCAGAGTCCATTCAAAGTGTAACACATCTGTTATCTCACCTTTGCTTGTTTCCTTTAATGTTCGAGGGACGTTCTCTTGTTTGCATGAAGTGTCATTTGTATTTCGTTTGATATCAACAGGTATTACCATCATTTATAACCTTGGATGTTTCCTTGCGCCACCAGTTTAGATCTTTGTCAATACCTGCCAATTCAACTTTACTTGCTGGGAAATCTATGCTCATATATCTTTTGAGTATTCTTGTCTTATTCATTAACTGTTCGTTCATTTAGATAATGAGCATGTGTATATGTATATGTGGTAAATAGGTCTATAAGTTTTCATTTGTCATTATTCTTGTAGTTAATTTTTTTTTTTTCATTTGACGAATCATTATTTATACTAACATTTCACACTTTTTCCATGAAATCTGCAGGTAGTTATCCCATTGCACCAGCTTAAGGCAATTAATCCTTCATCAAGCAGGACCAATCCATCCGAAAGATATGTTCAGACTATATCTGTCGATAACCATGAATTTTGGTTTATGGGATTTCTAAATTACACTGGTGCAGTGAATTGCCTGCAGGAGGCATTACAAGCACGCAACTTAGTGTGAGTCTGTTCTTGATCTTAAATTTGGTTATCTGAGAGGGCATAATTCATTATATGGAGTGATCACTGTTGAAAATTCTGAAGATAAATATTAGAAAGAAACAGAAGTACTTGTCTGCCTAAATGAAATTTTCTGATATCCTTGGAAGTGAACTCAGATTTCATGGTATTCACTTGTGGATTATCTCTTTTGGCAGATACAAGGTTAAAATGAACTGCTTCCCTCTCTAGTCTCTGTTGTATTGTATGCGAATATTTATGAACATAATTAGCAGTTTTAACATGCCTAACAATGTGAGGCACTTATAATAGCTCCTACACATTTTTTCCTGTGCTATGATAGCTTGTTTTGCCTTCCTTTCTCTTTTTCCTTACCCCATCACCTTTGTTCAATTCACAACCGATCACCACTGCATTTGTATTTTTTCACTCCCACACGCACCAACCCATGCATTCACTAAATGTTGGTTTAGTCGATTTTAACTTGTTTGTGATTGGGACGTAGTTGTTGGTCATGAGAAGAGTGCTTAGTCGTATGTCTCATTTGACTCTCTTACTTCTCTTTTAACGTAAGTACATCCAAAATGGGGCCAAACTCTACTTCAATGAAGTCACCACTATATAGCCTAAAGCATTTGTTGCATCTTGCTCAACTCATGTTCACATCTCTATTTAATTATATTTTTTTATTAGTTTGTTTAAAAGAAGTGTATCTTTTTGTATTTTAATAAATTGAAACTTTTTTATTTTGTTCTTTGCAACATGTTTTTATAGCCACAAAAATTTCGTAGTATATTTAAATCACAAGTTTTAAAAGTATTTTTTTCCTTCCTAACTCCATACCTATCGAACTATGCCACATAAAATTAAAATAGATGAATTAGAGTTTTTTTTCTCGTAGAATATTATTATATGACATCAGAATTGCACCTCCCAATTATACCTTTTTTTTGTCAAAGCCCTAAATTTTAAGGTCTGTTTAAATACTGAGAATATAAGTGATTTCATATGCAATTTAAGATTTTCTTTTTTTTGTTAATATTAGCAATGTCTGATCTGAATTCAGTAATTCGTTTTTCTTTCTATCAATTCTTTCAACCAATTTAGCAACATCTACTAATCGCTTCTCTTCTCTGATCCTAAAGCCCTCTTAATCCCTTTATTTATCTTTCATCCCGGAATAGGTAAAATCTCACTCTTTCTAATCTGAAAGAAAAAGAAAGAGGGACGATCATCCAAATAAGGAACTTTTACATTATCGGCTCCCATGCAAAAATTTATAGGTAAGCTTTCTTAAAATGTGGGATTTATAATTCTGAAAAAGATGAGTTACACATAAAGGGATTATATTTAAGTTTATTGTACAATGTATATAACTTTGGGATTATATTTAAGTTTCTTGTGCAATATACTCCCTCCGTTCACTTTTACTTGGCACGTTTTGACTTTTCACGTTCCTTAAGAAATAATAAATGAAGCGCAGAATTTACCATAATACCCATATTAATTGATGCATATTTTATTGGATTTGAAAAAATAATTTTAAATGAGTAATAAATATTGTGGGTATAACATGAAAAAAAAAATGTCTTCTCTTGATATGCGTAAAGTGACAAGTAAAAATAAAAATCTATTTTTAGTATGCATACCAAGTAAAAGTGAACGGAGGGAGTACTTATTTTAATTAGATTTAGAATATTAGTATCAGTACATCTTCCTCTTTTTACCCATTTATACCAAAATGTCAATTTAAGTGTAAACTTTCGATATCGAATTACAGTATCAGTTAGTATTTATTATTTGTGCCACCCCTACATGTAATTTAAGATGAAATCACGCAAAGCAATATCTTTAGAGTGGGTCCTCAATCTTTTCCTCGTCCTGTCTCTGTCAATAGAATTTAAGTGATCCTCACTGTTGTGCAAAAGATATAGTTGTATTATCGCTTTTAGTCCGCGTCAGAAATTATTTATATTTATCAAAAAGTGTATAAAATTTGTAGAATTTTTATATATAACAAATATAATGTGTATATATATATATATATATATATATATATATATATATATATATA